GGCATGGTCTTCCGCTTGAAGACCACATACGGAGGGAGCTTCAAGCCGCCCGCGGTCACTGCAAGCATGACGATGACGCGCCACTTCTCGTACCCCGCGCTGCACACGTGCATGGTCCGAGCGCCTTTCATCTCGAGTGTGCGCTCGGCAGGCATATCAAGGAATAGGGGTCTCTGATCCGCGTTCACGATCAGGTTGAGGGGGTTGGAGTTGAGCATGCGCATTTGCCTCACGAATTCCTAGAAGGCCTCACACCTCTACTTGTAATCTGCATCGCACGGCATAAGGGTGAGTCAGGCCCGGTGGATATGGTACGACTTTACATCTGTGAATATTGGGAAGGCCGAGGTTAAGGTACCTGCAGCTAGCTTCTGCCCGATCTTTGTCTTCACGCTGTGCCAGGGACCACCGCCTGCGTAACCTCTTTGTCCAACCGTGGGACGACCGCCACTTCGCCTGGGGTTGGCGATGCTACATGTAGGTCGCCGCCCAACTCTGCAGCAGGCTCACGGAAACTGGCAGGCCTCTCCCACCATGCGACAAGAAACCTGCGGTAGACCGCAACCTCCATCAGGGGGTACTTGGGCTTTCGTCCCGCACTAGTGAGACGTTGGCGACACCCTGCCGCTTTGTCGAGCCGCTCCTTCAAGCTGCGCCACTCGCCGATCTGCTTCGGCTGGACATTGGCGAGCCTAGCCAAACCCCGGACTCTCATATGGGGCTGCACGTCTAGCATCTTGAGCCAGTAAAGCTTCCCCTTGACGGTGTAAGCTTTCCGCGCCTTCGTTGTTTGACAACGCCTTTGCTCTGGCGTCTCTGCGTCGCACACCCGCTTCTTCTGTCCCCACGGTCGGCTCGATTCCAAAAATACGGGAACCTTCACGTGCGGAAGCAGACGGCGTGGGCTCCCGCTGGGCTCCTTAACTGTCTACTTGCTGCTAGAGGAACTTGGCGTTGGCATGATGGGCCTGGGCGACGGCCTAGGAACAGGAGGCTTCTGAACTTTCTTGCGGCGCCTGCATCGAGCACCGGACGTCCCAGCATCTGGTGATGTCACCATGGCGGCTAGAGTGGGGATAAAGTGGCTGCTAGCTTCGAGGGGAAAATGGAGCAGGCATCCATATTTTAAGCGGTAGCTAGCTGAGCACAGTAAGGGGAGAAGAAACAGGAGGGGGAAGTGAATGACAACCCTCACAAACAAGGACGTGCGAGCAGACAGTAGGGGTGTCTGCACGAAGACACCAGGACTGTGCAGCCCGCACAAAGCGTACATGGGGTGTGAAGGCCGAGGCGACACCGTGCGCTGGGCCCATCAAACGGTGCCCTTCTCGCTCATGTGGACACCAAGTGGTGTTTGTGGCCAATGGGAGGAGGCTCCTAGATAGAGTTCATGATGACGTGGGTTTGGCCCTCGTGGAGACCAGTTCGAGTATCTTTGGGAGGTGCTAAAAACGTAGCATTTCCAATTCACTTGTTTGAGCTCAAAAGCATGTGTCTTATAAAATATATGCCATTTATTTAGACCCCCCCCATTATTTGAGGTGCGATTATCATAATACCCCGGGGTCTTATATACGGGGGTTTACGGTAGGCTGTATTGGGGTTAGCACTAGAGGGCACACAAATCTTCTCAACATTCTTCTTGTACCCCCCTTTGACCTAATCCACTCATTCCTACCTACCTATCTTAACATGGTATTAAGAGCACTTAGGTCTTTAGGACCGTTTTTTCTAAGGGCCCACCGTTAGTTCTTCCCCTTCCACTGACCAAATCGCGCCCCTAGGGCGCGTTGATTTTGTGCCCACATCGCGCCCCTAGGCACGTCGATTTTCTGCCCACAAGGCATGTCGCGACCAAATCGCGTGGTGTTCATTTCCCGACCAAATCGCGCCCCAAGGCATGTCGTTTTTCCTGCCCAAATCGCGCCCCTAGAGCGTGTCGATTATCTGTCCGAATCGCGCCCCTACGCGCGTCGTTTTTCCTGCCCGGAGCATGCCCCTTAGTGCACAGTTTTCTGCCCTGCCTGCGCGTATGCGCCCTGCCCCGCGCTGTTGCCCTGCACACGCGACTACCCTGCCCTGCCCGCGCACGTGAGCCCTGCCCCAAGTGCCTGCCCTGCCCCGTGCTGCTGCCCTGCACGCGCGAATGCCCTGCCCTGCCCGCGCGTGTTTGCCCTGCCCTGTGTGCCTGCCCTGCCACGCGCTACTGCCCTGCACGCGCGACTGCCCTGCCAGCTGCCTGCGCTACCCGCATGCTGCCTGCGCAGCCTGTGCGGCCCGCGCCCTGCCCATGCCGCAGCTGCTGCTATCTTGCCTGGCCGTCGCTAGCGCTGCCCTGCCAAGCCGCAGCTGCTGCCTGCCACTGCCACTGCTGCTGCCGGCCGCTGCCACTGCTGCCCTGCCTGCACGCCTTGCACAGCGTTGCCCTGCCCTGCCTGGCCGCCGCCAGCGCTGCCCTGCCAATCCGCAGCTGCTGCCTGCTGCTGCCGCCACTGCTGCCTGCCACTGCCGCTGCTGCTGCCGGCCACTGCCGCTGCTGCTGCCGGCCGCTGCCACTGCTGCCCTGCCTGCACACGCTGGCCAGTGCTGCCCTGCCCTGCCTGGCCGCCGCCAACGCTGCCCTGCCAAGCCGCAGCTGCTGCCTGCTGCTGCCGCCACTGCTGCCGGCCACTGCTGCTGCTGCTGCCGGCCGCTGCCACTGCTGCCCTGCCTGCACGTGCTGCCAAGCGCTGCCCTGCCCTGCCTGGCCGCCACCAGCACTGCCCTGCATGCTGCAGAGCGCTTCCTTGCCAAGCCGCAGCTACTGCCTGCTGCTGCCTCCACTGCTGCCGGCCACTGCCACTACTGCTGCCGGCCGCTGCCACTGCTGCCTTGCCTGCACGCGCTGCTTAGTGCTGCCCTGCCCTGCCTGACTGCTGCCAGCGCTGCCCTGCACACTGCCCAGCGCTACCGTGCCAAGCCGCAGCTGCTGCCTGCTGCTGCCGCCACTGTTGCAGTCCACTGCCGCTGCTGCTGCCGGCCGCTGCCACTGCTGCCTGCTACTGCCGCTATAGTCCCTGCCACCGCTGCCCTTGCGCCGCTGCTGCTGATTTCTCCTGCCTGTCATGGCCACGCGTGTAGGTACCAGTACCAGTACATCTGCTCCTACAGGTGGTGCTGCTGGTGTAGGCGGAGGTTCTGGGGGTGGACAGGAACGGCAGCAGCGTCAGCCGGGGACTCTCTTGCCGCAGCAACATCGTGACTGGGTCATTCGGCGAGGCCACTCTCGTTGGGGTACTGGTGCTGGAGGTACTGGACAGTAGCGGCAGCCTCGTCGACAGGAGACTCTCTCGTTGCAGCAGCTGCGTGAGTGAGTTATTCAGCGAGGCCGCTCTGGTTGGGGTACTGGTGCTGGAGGTACTGGACAGCAGCGGCAGTATCGCTCATCGACAAGAGACTCTCTCGCCGCAGCAGCTTCGCGAGTGGGTTCTTCGGCGAGGCCGCTCTGGTTGGGGTACTGGTGCTGGAGGTACTAGACAGCAGCGTCAGGCTCGTCGACAGGAGACTCTCTCGCCGCAGCAGCTTCGGGAGTGGGATTCTCAGCGACCCGTCCCTGGTAGTTTAGAGGCTACTAGTCTAGGTGCCATTGAGCCTGCTAGCACAGGTGCAGCACCTGCGGAGGCTCTACACACCTTCACGCTTGACTCAGGCGCGTCTCGCTGCTTCTTCCGCGACTGCACCACAGTCTCACCACTCACTACACCTATCCCGGTCACTCTGGCTGACCCCTCTAGGGGCATAGTAGTAGCACGTGCCTCCACCATTCTCCCGTGTCCGGCAGCCCCTTCCGGCTCGCTTGCGGGTCTCCACCTCCCCTCTTTCACTACGAACTTGCGGCTTGCCTGCACCGCTCTACCTTCCCTGCGTCGAAGGGCGGCAGCGCGCCGCTCCTCACTCCTCCTCGTTTCCTCCGACCACTGCTCCTCTGCAGACTCTCCACATGGACGTGTGGGGCCCCGCCCGCGTCAGTGGACCGGACCGAGAGCGCTACTTTCTGCTGGTTGTTGACGACTACACGCGCTACATCACGATCTTCCCCTTGCAGAGCAAGGCGGATGTTCCAAGTGTCTTGATCTCTTAGATCCGCGCTATTGGTCGCCAGCTGCGTGTCCGGTTCTAGCAGGACCTCCCGGTCCTTCGTCTGCACTCCGACAGTGTTGGTGAGTTTTCTTCTCGCCTCCTTGGGGTTTTTTGTTGTGAGGAGGGCAGCGTCTAGTCGTTCACGCTTCCGGCCTCTCCACATCAGAATGGGGTTGCTGAGCGCTGTATCGACTTGATCATGGAGGTTGCTCGCACCTCCGTGATCCATGCGAGTGCTCCCTATTTCTGTGGCCGTTTGCAGTCTGATACGCCACACAGCAGCTCAACCTCTAGCCTCGTGTCTCCGTGCTAGAGACCTCGCCTACACTGCGTTGGACAGGGAAGGCTGGCGATGCGTCGGCATTTCGGGTCTGGGGTTCGATGGCCCTTGTCCGCGATACCACCGCGAACAAGCTCTCTTCTTGCACCATTCCTTGGCATTCCCACCGACGCGCCTGGCTGGGAGTTTTAGCACCCAGCTTCGCGTCGCGTCCTGTCCTCCCAGGACGTCACCTTTGTCTAGTCGGTTTGCTTCTACCGCCTCTACCGCCACTGCACTACCCTCGTTCCCCCCCCCCCCCTGCCTTTCTTCCTGGTTCTAGGTCCCCCTCCGGTAGACCCTCTCCCCCCACAGAGTCCTGCTCCCTCAGGTGTGTCTCAGGTAGACCCACCCCCCTTGGTTGAGCCTTTGGAGGTCACCTCTGACACCTCTGGCCCTGCAGAGGGGGGTGACGCTGCTGTAGACGACACAGCAGCCACTCACCGCTCACCGCGCCTGGAGACCCCTCCTAGTTTTCCGCCTCGGCCGTCTTCGCCGCCTCTGCAGCCTGTTGCTGTAGACTCCGGTGCTAGTGGGGGAGGTGACACTGGAGGTCCGGACTATGGGAGTGGTGACACTGGAGGTGCTGGTTCTAGGGGTGCTGAGTCTGGGGGTGCTGAGCCTGGAGGTGCTGGTTCTGGGGGTGCTGAGCGTCCTAGTGGTGGTGATGTCGTTGGTGCTTTTGCTGGAGGTTCTGGGGATGGACAGCAGCAGCAGTCTCGTCAGCAGGAGGCTCTCTTGTCACAGCACCTTCGCGAGTGGATTATTCGGCGGTTCCGCTCTGGTGGCGGAGCTAGAGGTGCTGGAGGTGATGGAGGGCGCTGAGACTGGAGGTACCAGCGCTGGAGGCGCTGGAGTTGTAGGTCCTGGTGTAGGTGGTGCTGGTGCTGGAGGTGCTGGTGCTGGAGGCGCTGGAGCTGGAGGTACTGGTGCTGGAGGCGTTGGAGGTGCTGGAGCTGCTGGTGCTGGAGGTACTGGAGCTGGAGGTGCTGGAGGTGCTGGGACTGGAGGTACTGGTGCTGGAGGTGCTGGAGGCGCTGGAGCTGTAGGTCCTGGCGCTGGAGCTACTTGAGCTGCCGGCACTGGAGCTGTAGGTACTGGTGCTGGAGCTGCTGGAGGTGCTGGAGGTGCTGGTGCTGGAGGTACTGGAGCTGGAGGCTCTGTGTGAGGATCGAAGGAACTGGTTCATAAAATAAAATATGAGCACCTGGGTACAAGGCAAGGCTATATATAGGCTCGACACAAAGGCTGAATATAATGGCCCTGTTCGATAGGCTAACGCTTTGCAAAAGGCGAAGGTTAGACTAGTGTTAAGAGGAGGGTTCAGCGCAATTTCCTCTAGCTAACTGAGCGCCCACCCAATCGGAAGCCCTGCCCCTACAAATCGGAAGGAGCGGGGCCCTGAGGGCGATGTTGCTCGCCCCCTTCTACCTGGGTCATCGCGGTCTGTGTTGAAAGATTTGGATTGCTCGTTAGAGGGGTCTGTGTAACAACGCTAGAAAAAAAAAGGCCCTCCCCACCAATCGCTCGCCTCACAAAAAGTTTTGCAGAATTTTTACGACGAGTCTGGTCTGGCTTGTTTTTTTTTGGGGCTCCACGGAGAGGGTATCTCTACCACTGCAAACACTTGACGAGCCCTTTGGCAAACCCCACTTTGGGGTGGCGAGGGTTAGGCTAGGCGAGGGCTAAAACTTTGCTCGATGGCGAAGGACGCTGGATCTTTCCGAGCGGGCTAACGCTTCTTGAATGGGATGCGTTCGACAGGCTAACACTAACCCTTCAGGTTCGAGAGCGTTAAAGCCCGGTGACACCAAATTACGGGCTGATGGTGGAAAAAATCCTAAATCAAAACAGCCGCGATGATTTCGCGGGTGTTAGTGTTAGCCTATCGAACAGGGCCAATATGAGCACCCGGGTGTTACGAGAAGGTTCTGCGGGTCGCGAAGCGTCCCGAACAGGTCCTTCCCAAATTCGGTAAAAGACAATTCAGTGGCAACTTAAAAGACTAGAATTTGGTGCAGTCAACCTAGTCCGGTGCCTATAACTGCAATAAATATAGTAAAAGCAAAAGCATGCAAGATAAAATAAAGCTAAGCTAGATAATGCGTAATAAAGCAGAGTAGAGGAAGTAAAGTCCAGCAAAGTCGTCGTACTCTCACACGTCCCCCCCTCAAAGCTGGGTGGCATGAGATACACCCTACTTGACAAGATAGTCCTTGAGAGCACGTCGTGCGTTGCCCATATCAGCTTCTGCAACCCAACTGTCCTCCGACGGGTCGTATCCCTTCCAGCGTATCAGGAACTCGAGCGTGTTGCCGCGTCTGCGTCGATAAGCGAGAACTCGTCCCACCTCGTACTCCGGATCATCCTGTACGAGAACAGGTGGTGGTGGCGGTAGTTGCCGTCCCTGGAACTGTTGGTTGGGGTCCTTGTAGGGCTTTAGTAGCAGAACATAGAAAGCGTTGTGAAGCTTCCACATAGTAGGTAAGCGCAAGCGGAATGTTTCTCGCATCACCTGTGCCTCAGAGCGAAAAGGACCACAGAAGCGAGGCCGGAGCTTGGATGGTAGGTGAGATAGGTCCAAGTTGCGTGTGTCGAGAAGCACCTGATCTCCGACTACAACCGAGTGATCACGTCGCTGTCGATCGGCATACTACTTCTGAGATTTCTGCATCGTGGTGAGACGTCGCTGAGTCTTCTCCCATAGCTGCTGCATGGTGGTGACAAAGTCGTGTGCGGCTTGGACGTGTGCCGGTGTGGTTGGCTGCTGTGGTGTTAGTGGTTCTCGTCCTAACACAGGAAGAATGGAGATTTCCCTGTGGCCGCATGTGAAGCGTTGTTGTAAGCAAACTCAAGCGTCGGTAACTGCTGATCCCAGTGGCTGATGTCGTCTTTGCAAGCTGTGCGCAGTAACTATTCAACCACCTGATTGAGTCGCTCAGTCTGTCCGTCAGTCTGGGGGTGGTAAGCTGAAGACATTACAAGCTTTGTCCCCAACATTCCCATGAGCTCCTTCCAGAACTTACTAGTGAATTTTGGGTCCCTGTTTGAGATGAGTATAGCGGGGATGCCGTGGATGGTGATTATGCGATCGAAGAAGAGGCGAGCATTTGCTTCAGCAGTAGCCGAGGTGTTGGTCGGGATGAAGTGTCCCATTTTAGAGAACTTGTCGATCACCACGAGTATAGCGTCATGCCCTCGTGAGGTCGAAGAAAGCCCAATGATGATATTGAGGCTAACGACTTGCCATGGTTGCTCCCGTATGGGTAGAGGCTGAAGTAACCCTGCTTTTTTCTGCTTGCTACTCTTCATTCGCTGGCACGTGTCGCATGAAGTGACGAACTGCTGCACGTCTGCTGCCATCCGGGGCCACTAGTAAGACTTCACAAAATCTCGCTAACGTCTTGTTGCTCCCGAAATGTCCCGTGTATGCCGTGTCGTGAAACTCCTCCAATAGGATCTGCCGTAGCGGGGCATAGTTCGGCATAGTCCTGAACCTTGACTGTTTGTTTGTTCAGTGCCCAGTAGTCGATGCACAGCTGTAAATAACCGTCTGGCTTTGGAGTGAAGAGAACCGGTGCGCCGTAGGGAGAGATGGAAGGGCGGATCAGTTGTCTGTCCAGTAAGTATTCATCTATCTGTTTTTTCATGTCTGTCAGTTCGGTCAGACTAAGGCGGTATGGTGCATAGGAGATGGGTTTCGCACATGGTTCCTCTACGATCTCGTGCTCGTGGATTCGCGCTGGAGGTATTTCAGCAGGCAGGTCGTTTGGGATGATGTCTTTGTACTGCTCCAACACCTCCTTTACTGCTGCAGGTAGCTCCGAGTTCGGCTTCTCCTCCTCTGCTGCTGCCATGACCAGTGCTAGGTAACCCGTGTTACTCTCGTTCACCGTCTGTTCGAACCGTGCCAGTGTCGTTTCAGGAACATCCCCTGTATCCGTCCAGCTTCGCAGCTCCACATGTTTCCCGTTTTTGTAAATGCTCGCCTTCCGGTTGACCCAGTCGATCTCGGGGTTGAACCGCTTCAGAAAATCACGCCCCAAGATGAAATCTAATCCCTTGATGTTCGTGATCGGCAACGTCGGCTTCCACCTCAACACCCCTATCTGCAACTGCAGTGTTGATTCACCGTGGATGGGAAGCTTCGTACCGTCCACCATCGTTGCTGTAAACCGGGTCTCCTCCGAGGACTCCCCAAATTTTTCCAACGTCCCGCGGTCGCACACCGAGTGGGACACACCACTGTCTACTAGTGCCTAGAGGCATTGCCCGTTGCAGATCACCTTGAGGATTAGTGGCTGCTGCTGCCCCAAGTAGCTGTAGATGGCCTTGCGTACATGATCATAGGGTACGTCGAATATATCGTCCTTAGGCCCTGCGCTCGAAGCTGCTGGCTCAATATCACCTGAGTAGGGTTAGAAGGATTTATCCGAGGCTGGTACAGCTTCTCCTGAGCCTGGAACCTTCCCCTAAGCCTTTGCAGCTGTGTAGGCTTCATCTGTGAAGAACGGCGGGGAGCCTTAACACCGTGCTGCTAGGAAATAATATTGGTTCCTCGGAACACTCGACCCTTATCAACTCTCCGGAATGGGGTCCCCCATATTATCCGGTACCGGTATAACTTCTGACTCTCCCTTAATAAAGACTTTAAAACCACGAGAAGTAATATTCTTACTTGTCGGGTTGTATGGCGGGAGTTTCCCGGTCGGTGCAGGGTCTTGTTTCGCGGAGTCTACTTAGGTCTTGGCGATATCCCCTGGTGCCAGCTGGTCGTGACGTTTCAAATTCGCGCCATCATATTCTCTTTTTTTCGCCCTCTTCGAAGTTGCACGTTGTCCGTTTTGTTCTTTGGGGGTGCCGCACTGTTCTTGCCCTTCAGCTCCGCACGCCTTTTTCTTCATTTTCCAACACGCCAAGATACGATGTCATGTAGCGCCGCAAAATTCTTACGTCTCATTTTTTGCTAGCCGCTACTTCGCATCGTCCTTGTCGTTCTCCATCGGGTCGGCATTCGTGGGTGGTGCCGATCGCCCCTAGCCACTATTTGGCTGGTTGCGTCGTGTTCCGTAGTAGCTACTGTTCAACGCGTCGAACTGTTCGATCAGTGCTGCCCGAAACTGCGCCCACGTCCCTTCGCCTTGGACAATTTTGTTGTTAATCCACTCTAGAGCCGGACCTCGTAACAGTGTTGCTGCGAGCCGTATGCGCATCGCGTCTTGGGTGGGGGTCGTGCATCCAATAGCTTCGAAGTAAATTTCGAGCTCAGCTACGAATCGACGAACGTCACTCCCTTTTACTATAAGATCAAATGCCTCCGGTTGCCTCGGCTTTACCGCTTCGAGGTTAATTGTAGTTGCTGACATTGTCGCAGATACAATTGTCGGTGTCGCCGCCGCTGCTACTGTTGCCGCTGCTGCATTCGCCGCTGCGTACTGTTGCCGCTGCTGCATTCGCCGCTGCGTACGCTGCTGCTGTGGTAGCTGCCGATTGGTTCGCAATGAGTTTCTCGAGTCGTAGGAGCGCCGTACATATCTGCTCCTTCTCGGCGCGTAGCTCTGCGATTTTCCCTATAAAATTATCTCTATTTTCTTCCATTTGGCGATTTACAAAAAGATTTGCGACGAAAGTAAATATATTCTAGTTGCTGGTCGTCTTACTACGAGTCGAATCGACTGAAGAATCGACGAGTGCGAGTTCTGTACGTCGCGAAATTCTCCCTTAGTCAAAATTATCGTTCGATGTAGGCCGTTGAGAAGAATCTCGATCTGACGCTCCAAATTCCAACTTGCTTGGGTGAAATTCTCTGGGTCGTTGAGATTCGAATCGATCTGACAGTCGAAATTCCAATCTTTTGCCAGTAATCATGAGGGATGTTCGAAAGCCGGATCGAGGGGGGGTTAGAAAAATTGCACAGAACTGGTTTTAGATACCCGAATTGGCACTTTCATTGTCGCCCCCACGGTTTTCAAAGGCCGGTTTTTAGCGGTTCAAGACTTCGCGTGTAAACCCGATCTGATTACCAAGTGTGAGGATCAAAGGAACTGGTTCAGAAAATTTAATATGAGCATATGGGTACAAGTCGAGGCTGCATAGGCTCGACACAAAGGCAGTAACCCGGGTGTTACTAGAAGGTTCCGCGGGTCGCGAAGCGTCCCGAACGGGTCCTTTCCAAATTCGGTAGAAGGTAATTCGGTAACAACCAAAAAGCCTAGAATTTTGTGCGCTCAACCTAGTTCGGTGCCTATAACTATAATAATTATAGTAAAAGCAATGAGCCCAGTAAATCAAGCAAAAGCATGCAAGAAAAAATAAACCTAATCTAGAAATAGCAGAATGAAGTCAAGGCAAGCTAGCAAAGCTAGCATAAGTCGTCGTACTCTCACATTCTAGTACTGTGGGTACTACACAGCGGCGACCGGTTTTCTTGCCGCAGTCGCACTCGTCACTACCACCACCTGGCTCGGCGCTTCACCAGGTACTTCGTATTCCGTCTTCCACTGGCCTTACTCCTTCCTTACTGTGTCCACCGCCCGACCCGTTGCAAATACAGTTACCGCCGGACTCCCCACTGCCTGCTCCTTCTCCTTACACTGAACAGACAGACCTCCTGATAGAGTGTCATGAGCCTGCATCTCGTCCTGCCTCGCCTGTTCGCACTGGTCGTCGTGTTACTCATCCTCGTCCTCCACCTTTTCCCGGCACTCACACTATGGCACTTCGTCCATCCTCTGTTCCACGGGGTGTTCCCCTGCCGTCTCCTCCGGCGTCCTCACTTCCTGACGTTCCTAACCCTGAGCCTAACCTTGTTCGCGCTGCTCGTCCTACTGTTACACATTTCCTGGCCACCCTCGTCACTGACCCTTCTTTAGAGTAACTGACCCTCGTCATTTGCTGCGTCTGCCTTATTCACTGAGCTTGTTGACTTCGCTGCTACCTGTGGTCTAGACTATGTCGCGGGTCTTGTTACTGAGTCTGAGTCTGACTGTCCTCCATCCTTCGGGGGTGAGCTTGCCCTTGACACTGACGTGTATGAGGGCAGGCGGTTTGAGCTCGAGTGCCTTGCGGCTACTGTACCTCAACTCGTGTCCATGCTTCTTTGCCCTGAAGGAGACCCGGATGCTCTAGAAATCCCCACCCCGCACTCTTACCCAGAGGCAATCACAAATGAGTACTCATCTCAGTGGCAAAAAGCAATGGATGAAGAGATGGTTTCCTGGAAGTCCACGGGCACCCACGTCGATGCAGTTCCCCCACCTGGGGCGAACATAGTCGATGGCATGTGGTTTTTCCGAGTGAAGCGGCCGCCGGATTCTCCGCCTTTTTTCAAGGCGCGTTACGTTGCACGAGGCTTCAGTCAGCGACAGGGGGTCGACTTCTTCCAGACCTTCTCCCCCACCCCAAAGATGACCACTCTTCGGGTGTTACTGCACGTTGCAGCACAGCGTGACTACGAGCTCCACTCGCTTGACTTCAGCACAGCTTTCTTGCAAGGCAGCCTTCACGAGGAGATCTGGCTGCGCCGCCCACCTGGCTTCACTGGGTCGTTTCTTGAGGGTACCCAGTGGAGCCTCCGGCGGCCAGTCTACGGTTTCCGTTTGGCGCCCCGCGAGTGGCACGACACACTGAGGACGACACTTTCGGCTCTTTGCTCCTTCGACTGCTGACCCGTCGTTGTTTATCCACACCGACTCTTGTCTGCCACCTTTCTACATCCTCGTGTACGTCGACGAATTGGTCTTTGCTACTGCTGACACTGAGGCACTGACCCTTGTAAAGACGGAGCTGTATAAGAGATACACCTGCTCTGATTTGGGTGAGCTGCGCAGCTATCTTGGCTTGCAGATCACACGGGACAGAGCACGGCGCACCATCACCCTGACTCAGTCACACATGGTGCAGCAAGTCCTTCAGCGCTTCGGCTTCCAGTTCTCCTCGCCACAGTCCACTCCTCTGCCTACAGGCCACTCGCTCTCAGCTCCACCTTCGGACGAGTCCATAGAGCCAAGTGGTCAGTATCCAAAGCTTGTGGGCTGCCTCATGTACCTGATGACCTGCACTCGACCAGACCTCGCGTACCCACTCAGCATCCTGACGCGCTACGTTGCGCCCAAGAGACACCGACCAGAGCACTTGCGGGCTGCACAGAGGGTGCTATGTTACTTCGGGCATGGGGCTTGTGCTTGGAGGACGGGGTTCAGTTGTACTTAATGAACACTCAGACGCTTCTTGGGTAGACGACCAGGCGACTCACCAGTCGTCACAGGGTTACACTTTCAGTCTTGGCTCCAGTTCAGTTTCCTAGAGGTCTACCCGCTCGTCTTCTGTTCTCAGCTCCAGTTGTGAGGCTGAGATCTACGCGGGGGCCATGGCTGCACAAGAGTTTCGCTGGCTGACCTACCTGCTGACCGACTTGGGTGAGCGGCCTCGTTCTCCTCCAGTCCTGTACGTCGACAACAAGGCCATGATTGCCTTGTGTCGGGAGCAGAGACTGGAGCACAGAACGAAGCATATCGCTCTGCATTGCTTCTTTGCACGAGAGTTGCAGCAGCGTGGTCAGCTTCATCTTGCTTACGTGGCCACACGGGCCAACACTGCTGATATTTTCACCAAGGCACTTGTGTCTGATGATCATCAGTGTTTCTGTACTACTCTAGGCCTTGTGCGTGACCTCACTTGCTTACTGCTTGACTTTGCTTTGTACTGTGATCCATACATTTATACCCGCATGCTTCCTCTTGCTAGGTTGTGATCACTGTATTGTTTGTGTTTTTATAACTCTGCATGTCAACTGCCCTTGTAGCCACTTGCTTGTGCTCAGACTGTGTGGTGATCTTGAGATCCACCCTGAGCTGTGTTTTGTTTCTTCTCTTGACTGGTCTTGTGACCATTGCTTGCTCTGGCTATCCCCCATTTCGCCTATGGGGGTGTGTCAAAACTTATATGTTTAGATATATGTAGGCTATATTGGGGTTAGCACTAAGGGGTACACAAATCTTCTCGACATTCTTCTTGTACCCCCTCCCTTGACCTAATCCACTCATTCCTACCTGCCTATCTTAACAGGTTCAGTGCCAAAGCTAGAACACCAGCAAAATGTTCAAGCATCTCGTCAGTCTAATGTACCCGTCAAAGTGTTTTGCAATTGCTTCAGAGGAAAAAAAGGGAGGTGTCGCACAGTCAAATGCCAAACCAACCCCTAGACTTCGCCACCTCAAACAGGGTGACTAAGCTTCAATTGTTTTGCAATTGATCACAATTTCTCTTGCGTGAGACCCTTGCTTTAACAGTGAAGAATAGAACGAGAATGATGTGACTAACAAGAATGGGAGTACAAATATGAAACCCTAGAGTTCTGTACCCCCTAAGGCTAAACCCACTGTAGCCTACAAAGCTACAACATGCATGATGTTTGACACACCCCCATAGGCAAAGTGGGGGAGAACAAGGGGTCACAAGACCAGTCAAGCAAAGCAAAGCAAGCTCAGGGTGGATCTCAATGTCACCACACATTCTGAGCACAAGTTCAAGGCCACAAGGCCAGTTCACATGCAAGGTTACATATATATAACGCTAAACAAGCAAGGGCAGGTATATATATGTAACAGTACAAGCAAGGTCAAGAAGTAAGCAAGTGAGGCAAGGTAGGCACAAGACCTAACAGAGTACAGAAGCGCTGATGATCACAAGGCGCGAGTGCCTTAGTGAAGATATCAGCAGTGTTGGCCTCAGAGGCCACGTAAGCAAGGCGCAACTGACCACGCTGCTGCAGCTCACGAGCAAGGAAGTAGCGAAGAGCGATGTGCTTCGTTCTGTGCTCCAGTCTGTGCTCCCGACACAAGGCCAGCATGGCCTTGTTGTCTACGTACAGCACTGGAGGAGAACGAGGCGGCTCTCCCAGGTCAGTCAGCAGGTAGGTGAGCCAGCGTAGCTCCTGTGCAGCCATGGCCCCTGCGTAGATCTCAGCCTCACAACTGGAGCCGAGAACAGAAGACGAGCGGGTAGACCGCCACGAAACAGAGCCGGAACCAAGGCTGAAGGTGTAACCCTGTGACGACCGCTGCGTAGCCTGGTCGTCAGCCCAAGAAGCGTCTGCGTGACCAGTGAGGACCACTGAACTCTGCCCTCCAAGCACAAGCCCCATGCCCGACGTACTGCACAAGTAACGCAACACCCTCTTCGCTGCAGCCATGTGCTCTGGTCTGTGTCTCCCAGGAGCAACATAGCGTGCAAGAATGCTAAGAGGGTATGCAAGGTCAGGTCGAGTGCAGGTCATCAGGTACATGAGGCAGCCAACAAGCTCTGGGTACAGGCCACTCGACTCTACGGACTCATCCGAAGGCAGAGCTGAGAGCGAGTGGCGTGTAGCTAGAGGAGTGGCCTGAGGCGAGGAGTACGTGAAGCCGAAGCGCTGAAGGACCTGCTGCACCATGTGTGACTGAGTCAGGGTAATGGTGCGCTGTGCTCTGTCCCGGGTGATCTGCAAGCCAAGATAGCTGCGCAGCTCACCCAGGTCTGTGCACGTGTGTCTCTTCTGCAGCTCGGACTTCACGTAGGCAAGTCCAGCAGTGTCGGGTGTAGCAAAGACCAAGTCGTCGACGTACACGAGGATGTAGAACGGCGGCAAAGAAGAGTCGGTGCGCAGAAACAGCGACGGGTCGGCAGTAGAAGGAGCAAACCCAAGAGCCGCAAGTGTAGTCCTCAGTGTGTCGTGCCACTCACGAGGTGCCTGGCGGAGACCGTAGACTGGCCGCCGGAGGCTCCACTGGGTGCCAGGAGGAAAAGTCCCAGTGAAGCCAGGTGGACGGCATAGCCATATCTCCTCGTGCAGGCTGCCCTGCAAGAAAGCAGTGCTGAAGTCAAGAGAGTGCAGCTCGTAGTCTCGGTGAGCGGCTATGTGCAGCAGTACCCAAAGAGTGGTCATCTTCGGGGTGGGTGAGAAGGTCTGAAAGTAGTCAACTCCCTGCCGCTGACTGAAGCCACGAGCCACGTAACGCGCCTTGAAGACAGGCGGAGAACCCGGCGGCCGCTTCACCCTGAAAATCCACATGCCACTGACGATGTTCGCCCCAGGCGGGGGAACCTCGTCAACGTAGGTGCCTGTGGACTTCCAGGAAGCCATCTCTGCGTCCATGGCTGCCTGCCACTGAGAGGAGTAGGGACCCTCTATCGCCTCCGCGTAAGAGCGCGGAGTCGGGATGTCAAGTGCATCCGGGTCTCCCTCAGGGGCAAGCAGCACGGACACGAGATGAGGTGAAGCAGCAGCCAAGCACTGGAACTCCTCTTGCCTGTCCTCAAGGACGTCCGTGCCAAGAGCACACTCACCCCCGACGGACGGAGGACAGACAGACTCAGACTCAGCGACGAGACTGGCAGCGTAGTCTAGGCGACAGCGAGCAGCGAAGTCGACAAGCTCAGCAACCAGAGCAGACGCAGCAGTAGACTCAAAGGAAGGGTCAGTGACGACAGTAGCAAGGAGACGCGTGACAGTAGGACGCGCAGCACGAAGGGAGTCCGACTCAGGGTCAGGAAGGTCAGGAAGAGAGGACGCGGGAGGAGAAGGCAAAGGGGCACGCAGAGGAGCAGTGGAAGGACGCAGAGACATCCGGTGCGTGCCGGGGACAGGGGGAGGACGCTGACGCGAACCACGACCACTAGTGCGAGCAGCACGGACAGGCGACGCAGGGCGAGACGCAGGCTCACGACGCTCAGCAAGACCTCCAGTAGGACCAGTGTAGGGAGAAGGAGAAGGAAGCGGGGAGGCCGGCTGTAACTGCGACACAGACTGGACAGGAGGCGGACACGCTAAGGGAGGAGCAGGACCAAGAGAGGACGGAAGACCAAGAACCTGCTCAAGGAGCGGAACGAAGTACGGCCGGGGCCGCGCAGCGCCACCAGTGCCAGCAGGAACAGCACCCCCAACGGGAGCACCAGCACCAGGAGGACCCTCAGCTCCAGCAGCTCCAACTCCAGCACCCTCAGCCGGACCAGCGCCAGTAGCACCTCCAGCGCCAGCACCCCCAGTAGCTCCAGCTCCAGTCGGACCACCCGAAGACGCAGCAGCTCCAGCTCCAGGAGCACCAGCAGCACCAACGCCAGTAGCACCAGTAGCACCACCAGCTCCAGCAGGAGGAGCACCCGTAGGCCCAGCAGCTCCAGTACACCCTGTACGAGCACCTCTGGGACCCTCTGCACCAGCACCCTCAGCAGCAGCAGAACCTCCAGCGTCCGCAGCACCACCAGCTCCAGCACCAGGTGCACCTGTAGGCCCAGCAGCTCCAGTACACCTTGTACGAGCACCTCTGGGATCCGCTGCACCAGCACCCTCAGCAGAGGCAGAACCTCCAGCGTCCGAAGTACCGCCAGCTCCAGCAGCACGCCTCCAGCGCCGGGCAAACCACTCACGCAGCTCCTGTGGAGAGAGTAGCTCCCGCCGGGACGAAGCACCCGAAGAACCGTCAGGCCCAGCACCACCAGACGACTCACTCCGAGACACAGCACCCCCAGGCTCAGCACCCCCAGGCGCAGCACCCCCAGGCTCAGCACCCCCAGACGCAGCACCCCCAAGGTCAACACCCCCAGGCGCAGCAACCTCAAGCCCAGCACCCCCAGTCGCAGCACCCCCAGGCTCAGCACCCCCAGGCTCAGCACCCCCAGCAGCACCAGAGTCAACAGCTACCTCGACAGGCTCGACTGCATCTACCTGGGACACACCTGAGGGAGCAGGACCCTGAGGGGGGAGGGGGTCTACCGGAGGGGGACCTGGCGTAAGGAAGAGCGGCGGGGGAGGGAGGGACGCAGTGCGGTAGGGGAAGAGACGGTAGTAGGGAACCGACTCGTCAAAGGTGACGTCCTGGGAGGACAGAACACGGCGCGAGGTGGGGTGGTAGAACTGCCAGCCAGGCGCGTCAGGAGGGAAGCCAAGGAAGACGCAGGGAACAGCACGAGAGGACAGCTTGTCCGCAGACAAGTCGCGGACAAACGCCCGAGATCCCCAGACACGGAACGCAGACACATCGCCAACCTTCCCCGTCCACAGTAAAGCAGGGGAGGTCTCCGGCCTGGAGACCCGGGGGTGAAGGTTGATCTGATGCGCCGCGTACCGAACCGCAAACGGCCAGAGAAAATGGGGGGCAGCCGCATGGACCATGGACGTACGAGCGACGTCCATGATCATGCCAATGCGGCGCTCAGCAATCCCATTCTGCTGTGGAGAGTCCGGAAGCGTGAAGGTCTGGCGGATGCCTCGTGCACGACAGAAGGCCCGCAGAAGGTCAGAGGAGAACTCTCCGCCTCTGTCGGAGTGCAGACGCAGAACAGGAAAGTCCGAGCCGAAACTCTCCCGGAGCTGGAGACGAGCTGCGCGGATCCAGGCGATCAACACCTCAGTGACGTCACCCTTGCTGCGCAAGGGGAAGACTGTGGTGTAACGCGAGTAGTCGTCAACCACCAGCAGGAAGTAACGCTCGTGACCCTGCCCACGGACGCGGGCTGGGCCCCACACGTCCATGTGAAGCGTCTGCAGCGGAGCCTCTGTCGGAGGAAACTCGGAGGAGTGAGGGGCAGCGCGCTGCCGCCCCTCGACGCAGGGAACGCAGGTGGGGGCAGGCCCCGGAGGAAGGGGAGGGAGGGACCGGGGGAGGCCAGAGACAAGAAGACGGGAAGCCATGCCTCGAAGACGAGGCAGGGAGGGGTGACCAAGGCGGTGGTGCCAGAGGAGAGTCCGGTGGGACAGGAGATGACACGAGCAGGGGGCAGACTCAGGGCCAGACCTGGACGCCGCAGCAAACACCTGACCCGACGCTGCTACCTGAGCAGACTCAGCGACTGGAGGAGACTCAGTAGTCAGTGTGTACAGGCTCGACCCCGGCCGACGGGTAAACGTGGCCAAGTGTCGGCCCGTGTCCGCACACGTGCAGTGAGTCACCCGCTGACGAGCAGGGGTGAACTGGTCAACTCCCCCATCCTGCAGGTCAGCACCCGCCACCAAGTTCGTAGAGAACGAGGGGAGGTAAAGACCCGACAGGGAGCCAGACGGGACCGCTGGACACGGTAGGACAGTGGAGTAGTGGGCAAGGACAGGACCCCCAGAGGGGTCCGCCAGGGAGACTGCAACGGGCCGACTGAGTGGCGTGAGAGTGGTGCAGTCTCGAAAGAAGGAGCGGGAAGCACCCGAGTCAAGGGTGAAGGTGTGGGTGTCCGGAGACGACGCAGTACCTGAGAGCGCAGACTCACCGGCACCTGGGGCGGCAGACGCACTGGCACCTAGAGCAGCAGCCTCACAAGCACCTAGCGCAGCAGCCTCTATGCCTGGGTCAGGCGGAAAACACCGGTAACAGTCACCCTCATCACTAATAGTCACAGCATACATGGCAGCAAGAATAGCATCATAATCAAGATCAAAGATAGGAACCCCCGCCCTAGACAGCTCACCCCAGCGAGGGATCTCAGTGGCCTCAGGGAACTGGTGACGCCAAGCGTCCGTCAGGCGGCCAAAGCAACGCTGGGTGGAGTGCGCACCCCCACACTGCTCACCCGCGCGGTCGCCGGTGCGGAGGACGTAGGTGCACGGACCAGTACCCCCACCCCGCTGACGTGCAGCGTACCACTCACGAAGCTGCTGAGGGGGGGGGATCTCACGAGCGCGCTGCTGCTGCTGCTGGCGCTGACCACCACCGGAGCCAACCCTCTGTGCAGCGCCACCCCGACCAGCTCCACCTCCTCCGCCGCTACCTCCTCCACTACCGCCACCTCCGCCACCTCCGCTCCCACCCCCACCGCCGCCTCTGCCTCCGCCTCCACTGACGCCACTGACGCCCCCACCCCCGCCACCACCCCCACCGCCACCCCCACCCCCTCCACCACCTCCACCTCCGCCTCCACCGCCCCCGCCAGCTCCTCCAGCACCCTTGCCCCCCTTGCCCTTGCCAGGGCGGCGTCTCCCGCTAGGGGCAGACGCCGCAGCGACCGACTCAAGACCAACGAGGTCGGCCGCAGCAGCAGAGGCAACAGAGGGCAAGAGGGGAGAGGGGGAGCACCCCTCAAAGACAGGGGTACGAGGGTCACCGCGAGAGGCTTCGACAGCGACTATGCTCTTCTCTGCCGCTAGAAGGCGCTCCTCGAGGAGGTCAACGGTGAGGGTGGTGGGGCAAACAGAGAGGAAGTGGTCCCTAACCGGGCGAAGGGTGTCAGGGAGCCGGGTGACTATGTAGTAGAGGGTGATGTACATGGGGGGGGGGTTCTTGGCGCAGAACTCAGCAGGAAGCGCAGCGCGGTAGCGAGTGTCACTAGTGCGAAGGTGCGTAATGAGGTCAGCGACAGTGGGAAAAGCGGCGAGGTCAGGGAAGAGGTACGGTAGGATGAGGCGGCTAAGCGCAGCAGTGGCAGGGGAAGAGTAGCGTGCAACTACAGCGTCGTACAAGGTCTTAGCACTCTTGTACTGGCTAAAGTGTGCACGCTCAGCGGTCGGCAAGTGGCGGCGCACAGCAAGGCGGGCAGCAGCATCGCGCGTGGCCCACTGTGAGCGAACAGTGGCGTCAGCATCAGCAGCAGGTGCAGGAGAGGCACCAGAAGTGAGGTCAAAGAGGGAGAGACCGTCTGCCCCAGGCCAACGTGCTTGTAACCCTTCCCTAGGATCAATCGGGGATCTCCAATAAAGACAGCTGCAAGCACAGCACAGTACAGTAGCACATGTGGCACGGAGCAAATGGCGAGAGCAAGATTTGGTGGGCTCCAGTACAGAGAGGAGGAGGTAGGCTTGTGTATTGGAATTTTGCCCTCAGATTGGTTTTGGGCTAGGCTGAAAAATCGAAGTTCGTACACAAATTTACTCTAGAAATCAGACAAAAATACCACTGTACATTAGAAACAACTGCATCTTCCCCAGTTTTCCTAAAAAAAAGTAAGATAATTCAGCCTTGGTAAAAAAAAAAAAGCTCTGAAATTTAGAAATTTCTTACAAAATCAGAGTAAAGAGTCTGACTTCTGAAGGCCTGATTGGAATTATGGTTGCTCCGATAAACATATAAGTAGTGTTGGATTTACACTTTGATAGTGTAGAATGCATTGGTTGGGTTGGGAAAGATTGTGGTGTACACTCTTTGGAATGGACCACCTCCCAAACCCTATAGATTAGGGTTCTCTCTTCTTTCAACTCACTTCTTGTAAACTCTCTTGGTTCTTGCTTGGTTCATGCACAAATTAGCTTCTAAGATTCATAGGCCTTAACAAGAGGTTCTAAGAATACTATAGCTTCCGATATTATCTTAGACTATTCTAACATGGTATCAGAGCTAAGAAGGCTTAGCAATCTAATGGAATAGAAGTTACTCAAGGCATTAGAATATAATATCTTGGTGGAAGCTAAAGTAGCTTAGCCCCCTCTTGAAAGGCTACCGAAATTGCATTGTGGCGGACTCTGGACGTGGGAGGGGAGGAGAAGAGAAGAAACCCGCTGAAAATCGTGTGGATCCGTTCGAGAGGACGAAAGGAACGACATCCATTCACGGAGGGATTCGGTCAACATTGACCAATTGAGACGTTCAGCATATCGTTAGAAAGGCCTTAACATGATCTACAATAGTTGTCCAGGCGTCGTCACCAATCGATGAGCGGATCAGACGCAATTCGCGAAATTCAGTCAGCGGCCGAACAGGAAAAACGTGAATCGGTGAAGATTTAACGTGCAAAAAGGGGATCGGAGGGCGCACGCCAAGAGATGAGATCAGGGCGCATCCAACAAGCCAAAGATCGGGAGAAAACGGTCGAGTCTTTGTCGAGGGAAAACTGGCCAACTTCGACAAGTTTAAGCAGACAGCTCGGACGCGGGATCCAGAAGTGCAATACATCATCGGAACAGCCTCGGAAAAGGATTTAGCTAAATCAAACAGCTTGTCATTCGGATGTTCGGGCGCAGAGTTACGCTCCAAAAACCAAGAGGGGGTGAATTTGCGCACGTCGTCTTCACCACCCCCGCCATTGCCTCCACCACCACCTCTACTTCAATCGTCGGGGTCGCTGTCGCAAATGGATCATGACTCAGGCGACGGGAAACTGGAGAGTGCGCCTAAGTTTGACGGGAACGAATGTTGGACTTGGAGCTTCCGACGAAGAATGGGCAGAGACGCACGAACTGTGGGGGTATTTTGATGGATCAGAGGAATGACCTGCATCGGGTGATGCACGACTAAAGTGGGAGAGGAAGAATCCGAAGGCATTTGCCCAATTCTGCAATGCCTTAGTACCAGATGAGCTGATTTGCCTAGTTCGGGAGTTAGGCAGCAAGCCCGAGTTGGGCGGTGCACCTGCCGATGGTGGAGCTAGAGCAGCCACCTGTATTCCTGCAAGTACAGCAGTGACATACACACGTGTGAAAATTTTATACCTTCAGTGTGGCTTGTACAACCGAATGACACTCTTTGAGGAGCTCTCCTTTTTGAAGATGAAAGAGGGAGAGGGAGTAGCTGCGTACTGGGCGCGTGCCGAGGACTTGAGGTCCAAGTACTTGGCGGCAGGGGGGAAGGAGGAGGTTGAGGAGTGGATGATAAGGGTGCTCAAAGGACTACCTCCTCACTTTGAGATGCTGAAGGTGGTGCTTAACAACCAATCGTCACTGCTTACCAAAAACCAACTGCTTGATCTGTAAGGAGCGAGGAGATGCGGATCGGTGTCGCACCGAGATCGGATGGCGTAGCCACTTTTGGAGCGGGTACTAAAGTTGGCAGCAGTGGCACGGGAAATTGGGATAAGGAAGGAAAACATCGAGGCAACGGTAGCAGCAGCGGCACCAACTTGGGCAAATGGATTCAGGGGAAAGGCAACACGGAGTGCTTGATTTCCCTTGGGGGTCCAAGAGCATGGCTCCTAGGGAGTTGTGTCATGGCTGTTGGGATGAGGGACATGCATGGCAGCGATGACCTCACCGACCTAAGTGAGGAATTCCGACACTCTTACAGCTGGGGGGTCGTGGTTCCAACAGCAAGGCACAGGTGGCGGATAAGGAGGAGGAGGATGACAAGGCAGAGGTAGCGGTTAGTGAGGAAGTTGCAGCAATAAGAGAGGAGCAGCCACGAGAGGAGTGTTGATTGACAGTGGGGCCAGCCACAACTTTACTCCTTATGCATCAGACTTTAAGAGTAAGCTTGGGCCACCTGAGATTTGGGGAGTTAGATTGGGTGATAGACGGATGGCGAAAGCTGTTGGCATGGGTGAGGTGCTGGTGGTTGGTGCTGAAGGTCAGCTGCTGAGGATTCAAAAGGTCCATCTTGTGCCTGAGAAGCATACGCGTCTGCTGTCAGTCCCACACCTGACCTCTCGGGGTGTCATTGTGTCATTCGAAGGTGTTATGTTATTAAACAGGGGGAGAGGGTGTTGGTGATTGGAGAAAAGGAAAGGGGAAGGGGTTATGGATTGGTGCGAATGTCTCTTCCTCTTGCTCCGGACATACAGGGCAGTGCTCTTGCAGTTGGATCCTCCTCCTCATTTTCTCTATTGACCCTTGCCCACCGCCGCATTGGTCATACCGCCCCCACCACACTGCAACAGATGGCTCGGGGGAACAGTATACTGGGCTTGGAGATCGGGGGGGGGGGGAGCACTGATTGCTCTCCATTTGAGCCTTGCCTATTGGGTAAGTCGGCCCGAAAGCCGTTTTCCCATAAGGCGCCTCGCGTGCTTGGGCCTTTGGATGAGGTCCACATAGACTTGTGGGGGCCTGTGCGCACTGCTTCGCTAGGAGGAGCGGTATATGTCTTTAGTCTCATAAACGACTTCACCAAACGGGTTTGGTCATTCCCACTCCCCAACAAGGAATCTGCCACAGTCGCCAAAGTCCTTCGCCAGTGGCATAGGGGCGTGGAGCTGGAGTGTGGGCGGAAACTGAAAGCTGTTTGCTCAGACATGGATGGCGAGTTCTTGGGGGATGCTGTGAAAGGATGGAAGGCTGAGTTTGGCATCAAAACTCAACTAAGCGTCGCAGATACAATGCAGCAGAATGGGGTGGTGGAGAGGTCGCACAGGACGATGGCAGAGGGGATCCGCACGTTGTCGGTCGACAGTCGTCTCCCTGCTCATTTATGGGGTGAAGAATTGATGTGGGTCATTAAGGCTAAGAACAGGGTCACTCACAATGCTTTGCCTGCCTCTATCACTTCAATGGAGGCGTGGTTCAGCCAAAAGCTGCATGTGGGCATGGCTCGGGTTTGGGGTTGCATGGGGAGTGTCATGTTGCATAGGCATGAGAAGGGTGGCAAGTTTGATGCACGCGCTGTCATGTGTGTCTGTGTTGGGGTGGACATGGAGAGCAAGGGTTGGCGCATGCTGGACCCTTCCCTCATGCGCATTCGCATTGCTCGAGATGTTGATTTTCTTGAGAATGTGATGCGGAAGGATCGGGACACCCCCAAGGCCTTTGGGGGGCTTTTGCAGGATGCAGCTGAGATTTCCCAGCTCCTCCCCCTTCCACTCTCGCCACCCTCAGCAGCGGTTGATGACGCTGACATGCCACATTCATCACCACCACCAGCACTGCTGAATGTGTCGGTGCAGCAGCAGCCCCCCCCTCTGCAGCAGCTCAGCGGCCCCTCGATCATTCAGCAGAGATCCGCTACCCAGGCTTATTCCTCTTCCTCCTCCTCTGGTCAGCGCCCTGCCACTCTTCCTACGAGAGCACCTATGTCACCAGGGACTACCTCTGCACCACCGATTACAGGGTTGCATGTGCTTGGTATGCGGTCTGGTACAGGTGGTGAGGAAGTAGGGAGGGAGGCTAGGTGGAGAGTGTTGCACTAGCATGTGTGAGCACTAGTGATGTTCCACGCACAGTTGCTGAGGCACTGCGTGGCCTTGAGGGCCCTGCATGGAAGGCACGCGCTGAGAAGGAGGTGAATGCCATGAGCACTATGGGTGTATGGGATCCAGAGCCGGTGGACTTACCTCCAGGTAAGAAGGCCATTGGGGTCAAGTACGCTTTCCGCAAGAAAGCTGACCAGGAGGATAAGGTGGTACAACATAAGGTTCGCCTTGCTGCAAAGGGGTTCACTGAGGAGTCTGAGAAGGATTATGATCAGGTATTTGCCCCTGTGGGCAAGCTCACCTCAGGTCGGGTGCTTC